ACCAGTGGAGCCAGGAGAATGAGCTGAAGCTTCAGCTCTGGGAGCATCTTCTCGTCTGCAAGATACAATTGTATTCCAGGTTATAGAATCCCAGACTTGTTTGGGTTGGAAGGAATCTTAAAGCTCATCCACTCCCTACCCCCTTACCACATGCAGGGACACCTTTCACTAGACCAGGTTGCTCCAAGCCCCTGTGCCCAACCTGGCCTTGAACACTGCCAGGGATGGGGCAGCCACAGCTTCTCTGGGCACCCTGTGCCAGTGTCTCACCACCCTCACAGGGAAGAATTTCTGCCTAATACCTAAACCAGGCGTACACCCTGTCAGTTCAAATCCATTCTCCCTTGTCCTGTCACTACAGGTCCTTGTAAAAAGGCCCTCTCCAGGTTTCTTGTAGCCCCTTTAGGCACTGGAAGCTGCTCTAAGTTGTCCCCTGAGCCTTCTCTTCTCCAGGCTGAACATGCCCAACTCTCTCAGCCTGTGTACCTGTTTACAGACAGTGAGCTTTTTTTCTTGTTAGAATTTGCCCTGAGAAATCCCTTGATCCTCAAACTTAACTGAATCACTATTTATTATTTCTGAACGTGGAGGTCTGGTTTTTATAACTTGATATTTATGACATTTATCAAAATTACTAATGTTGTTGTCAGTTTCGTAGACATGTGACAAGACATCTAAGATAAATGTAACTACCTTCCTGTTCTGAGTTTAGGAAGGTATTTGGGCTGCCTTAAAGCAAATAAGCGCTTGGTTAATTTCTTTTTTCCTCATTAAAACCAGTGTAAAAGCTATGCCAAGATTCATGTATAGGATTTCCTTCAGTCAGGTACATTGGCTGTGTTTGACATGGAATAGTGAATGTAGATTTTCTTACTCTCCATGGGTGTCATTATGCATTTACAATGCATCTAAACTTTGATCTCGGTAAATGTCTCCAGAAGGATATATATTGTTTTATCATGTATATGTTTGGTTTTATGCTCAAACTGTTTCAGTGGTTTACCTTTTTCTTTTAAAGACTGCTCACTGCAGAAGATAATTATTTGACATAGTTAACATTCAAGCTTGTAGTTTCTTATATTTTTTGAGTGCTTCTGCCTCAAATAATTATTTTTCTTCTTTTTTCTTACAGCAATTGGAAGACTTTGTGAAAAATGTAAGTATAGCTTCTACATATAGTTGCTTGACAACATGGAGGTGTGGTTAGAGCATCCAGTTTGGAATTGGGGATTGGGTTCTATTTTTGCTTTAACCACGAACTTGATGTCGCTCTTTGAGATGGGAACAGTTGCTTGTGAATTGCAAGTGTAAATAAATGAATAATTACAAAGTTACCCTCTCAAATAGATTGCCAGGCAAATGCATACTGTTCTAGAGAATATGCTGACAGTGTTTGCAGTAGCTGGCGCTACACTGACTTCTTCATTGGTTCCTTGTAATCTGTAATACAAAATGATCAGCCTCGTCATTTCAAAGCAGGGGGGAAAAGATTGCATTTTTGGAATCTGACACCTTGCAAAAGGTTCATCTGGTATAAAAAAGGGGGGGCCCACACAGCATCTAGAGTTAGAGCAGAAAACCCCCACAGAATCGAATGCCAGTGCTCAACTGTTGAAGGGAAGAAAGAGTATGATCTGTCATTAGATCCTTGTCGGGAAACAGAGCAAATAAGACAAGTAGTTTGTGATTCAAAAATAGTATGGAAATAAGCAAAGTGGAAAGAAGCACGGTCTGAAGCAACAAGATTGTTTACAAGAGCACTCGGCAGCGTAACAGGTTCCCATTGGTAGCAGTTGAGGGCTGTCGTGCTGGAGATGTAAGAGCAGGTTAGATGAGCTGTTTGTGGGAGTCAGGATTAGATGCCTTGGGAACTGGTAATAGGATATGAAGCCTTTCATCCCCAGGTCAGTGTTTTGGATAAAGTCCAGCACAGCAGAGACTGTCAATGGCATCTGTATGATACGAGTACTTGAATTTCACTTGGTTCCTTGCGAGAAAGCAAGAGCTGCTTTTGTGAAATGGCTGTTTATGCCAGTTTGCCCTTTCTTTGGCCTTCTCACAGATGAAGGATTAAAGGGACCATGAGTACAATCTCTTACCTCATCTCTTTGAGGATAGTAACCCCAGACTTTTGTTGATGTGGCACTGTAGGAGAAGCTTACACTGCTGCTGCTGTGTAGGTAAGGACATTAGTCCTGTCAGTCCAGCTTTTTGTTTTCTTCACAAGTGAAAAACTCAGGAAAAGTTCTAGAGTAAAAGTAATGGTAACATCTAATCAGGTGTTGTCTAATCACAGAAGTGACTTCGAGTTCCTTCTCTGATTGTGAATGCATGAATGAATAAATAAACCCCTCAGATATTACATGCTACTGGCCCTTGTTCCTCTCAAGTCTGGGTGCAAATACGAAGTTGCACCCTGTGCACACGAGATAAATTTCTGTAGTTCAATTGCATTGTCTTTGAGCGTAGAGGCAAGTTCTTTGACTCGGAAGCTTTCCCTCTTTGATGAGGGTGTGGAGAAAAGGACACTCTATAACCAGAGGCTCTGCTGTACTCACAGGTGATGGCAAATGTGTGATCTGTGACTCCTACGTGCGGCCCTGCACCCTGGTGCGCATATGTGACGAGTGTAACTACGGCTCATACCAAGGGCGCTGTGTGATCTGCGGAGGACCAGGAGTGTCTGATGCCTACTACTGCAAGGAGTGCACCATCCAGGAAAAAGATGTATGTTGTCATCCTGTCTCCCATTGAATCAGTTATGTCTTTACTGAGTAGCCATGCTTACCTTAAGGGGCTCAGAGCTACTGAAATTAGTGTTGGACATGGGGTGCTTGGGTTCCACTAACCAATATTGGCACTGGTTTTCATTACCTCCTGCCTTTCTTCCCCTGTTGGTAGTTCCCCCTGTTTGCAAAGCATTTTGAGGTATTGGAATTCTCTTCATCCCAAAGGGTCTTTGACTACTTTGCACTGCACACTCAAGGCTCGCTTCCTCCACACACTGTTTGTTACCACTTTAAGTTGTTGTGTTACCAGATCTCTCAGGCTAGGTTTTATCAGAGTCAGAGATATTCCAGACACTACAAATGCAGTGGTAGGAGCAGCTCCTCACTGGAACTCCATTATCAGCCACTGACCAAGGGCATGTACAGTATTGTAAGGCCTATGGAATTACCACCTGTGTTTTCCTTTGGATAACAGCATAAAGATAGACCTTAGTGTCTAGTGTCTGCACTACCAATTGTATTTTACAAGTTTAAAGCTGCTTGTATAATTTCAGTGGGCTATGATTTATTTTTTTTTATTCTTCTTTTTTGGATGGTCTATATTGTAGACATTTTTTTTCTGCTAACACTTTTTGCTGTAATTATCCCTTATTTCTATTGTCAGTGCTATAATCTTTCTATAATCTTGTGCTGAGACATCGCTACGCTGCATGTGAAATGAGGCAGCTCTTCACCCCCTTTAAAGTATTTGTTAATATCCAACATAATGAGTGCAGGACATGAAGAACTGCAAATGTAGAGGTGGAAAGACTTTAGGGAAGAGCAAGAACATTTGCAGTATCCCCAGAATATGGGCCTGATGGCTGTGAGAGTGTCTGTTAAAGGTTCTTTGACTTTTGGTGCTTTGCAAATGCAATCTCCAGCACACCCTAATGACAGCAGAGGACATGCGAGAGAATGGTTCAGATTGTTACAGGAACGTGCTCAGCTGAGTGAGTTGCTGGTTTCATTCTCTGCAGTGCCTGCCTTTTCTCTACAAGCCTGCAGCTAAATTCAAGACAGGGCTAGGTCCTCATTTGAATTTAGTCATTGGATCTGACAGGACCATAATCTTTCTTAGTATCAAAATAAGGATATAAAGGCTGTGGTAGTGGTGCTGCCTCCTACTTCAGAAATGCTGTGAGAAACAGTAGTTTTGTTCACGTGCCTTTGGAACCAGGGCGCCTGGCTTGATAAGTCATGAGTAAAATAGGCTTGGTTTTATTCCCACCAATTCATATTGATTCCCAACAAGTATTTTTCATAACCTAAGCTCACCTGTAGGTTATTGTGCCTGATTCAGGTGTGAAATAGCCAGCTGCTCTGCAAGGAAGGATTGTAGATAGAGCTGGAGGAGTGGGAGAATGACAAGTCAGAACTGAGGAATTTTGACAGCTGGGTGAAGGCTGCTGTGGGTAAAGGCAGTTGCTCTGTACGAGCAAACTCAAATGTTAGGGATTATTACAGATGTGAAGTTGTAGATCTGAAACAGAGATTGGATGTGATTGACTTGAAGGACTGAAAAGTGCTGCTACAGGTGTAGGGTGCCCACAATGAGTAAAGTTAAGTGTGCTGCTCTCATAGTTATGGTAGCTGGTGTTTATGCGAATAAGAAAAGTAGATGGACAGAACTTTATACCTGAAGCTCTAACACTCCAAGGTTTCAGTCACAATTCTTCCATCATCCTCAGAGAAAGACTGGAAAAGACAGTGAAACAAGAAAGCAAATACTAAAATGGAGAGAGGAGGTGGAATTCTGTTAGGCATAAAGCAAAGGGCCTGGTTACTCTTGGTTCATTTGTTCTGGTGGAGGGAGGAATGAGGTATTGTTTCCCCCCACTTCAATCTGTGGATAAGGGCTGAAATCCTGCCTTGTTACCAAGGCCAGCTGTGAGTTGTTTTCTTGGGGACAGAAGCATGTTCATGTGCTGCCTCCTTAGGAGGAGGTGGAAGAATGAACAGAGCCCTGCAATAATGCTGTCAAGATTGTCACAGACTCCCTGGGACGTGGGAGGTAAGGCTTGGAAGAGTCCTACTCTTGAGGTTCAAAATCACTTGAGGAGACGATTTGGTGGAGATTGTTTGTGGCAAGTGTATGGGGGAGGGATGATTTCCCCCCTCCTCACTCTACCCCCCCCCCTCTTACCCCCCCTCCTCCCTCTCCCCCCCCCCCCGTTATTTCTACCATTCAAGACCCTCCCCACTGGGTTACATCTCCTGCACAGGAGCAGGGATTAGTGGGGCAGCTTGGGTGCAGTTTCTATAGCATCTGACATCTGCCCAGGGGCTTTCTAAATCTAATGCACTCAGTCTTACACAACAGTCAAGGACACATATTCCTCTGCCTGCTGGGCCCCTCACAGCTGCTGTCACCAGCCATAGCATTTTGCCCCGAAATGTTAAGTGGCCCACGGGCAAATGTTCCCTGGTACACCAAGAGGTGCATCTCCAATTTGTCTTCGCAAACACACCTCTGAGGTGGGTCTCTCCTGCTTCCCTTCTTGCTCTTCTTGTGCCTTTTCTCCCACAGTCCACTGAGATTCAGGTACAAGAACTTAGTTCTGTGTAGCTGCTGTAAATAGCTGTCCTGTCCCAACATGACCATACAGCCTCTGCAGTAATCAATCCAGAATGCAGGAAATCTGAGATTCAGTTCTGCTGTCACAGCTGAGAGGGATCCCTAATCATGAGAATGGTTTGGTGACATCTAAAGCAACAAGATTCTTTTTGCCTAAGGAGTGGAAAGGTTATTCCTCTGGGTCCTATAAATCCTGCATATTCTCATTTAGAAAGAATCCAGTCTTGAGGCACTGAGCATCCTTTTCATTGAACTGCTGATATTCTAAGAGCTGTTTTCTATCTTTACCCTAGAGGTGGAGAAAGATAATGTCCTAGAGTAATGTTAGAAAGGTGTACATTCTCTTCTCTGTTCCACTACTTTCTTGCTGGTAGTAACCAGAATTGAAGGGCAGTTTGTCTGCACAGCTATTCAAAATGCATGTTGAGGATAGAGTGAGGAGTGTGGGAACTGAGAACCTACTAGAATTATGTGATAATGTTGTTGTGTTTGCCCATCTCCTGACATACATCCTCTTTTCTTCTTACAGAGAGATGGTTGCCCTAAGATTGTCAACCTGGGCAGTTCCAAGACAGATCTCTTCTACGAAAGGAAAAAGTATGGCTTCAAGAAGAGGTGATCCTATGGCTACATCTCCTGTCAGGTTGGCAAGAGGGTCTTGGAACATCTCTGGACTTTACAAGTATTGAAAAATATTGAAAATATTTTTCTATAGAGCAGTACAAATTCAGTGGTATATTTGGGGTTGGAGAGGTAACAGACTGAGTGGGGACTGAAACCTGATCAGAACTGACTATCAGAAAGAACAAATGAGGATTACTGTCTCTTGCCTTTCCAGAAGCTCTGCTAGTAGCTGCCCCAGCTCGCTATAAAAATCCTGGTGGGCAACTATTTACACATGAAGGAGATCAGCTCAGCAAGTGCCATTTGTGGTGGGAAACGCCTTGGGGTTGTTTTCACCAGGCCTCCTCTCAATTGTTTGAAATTGCCCCATGCATCAGTTCTGAACAACAGAGCATCCAGCCCATGTGTCTGCTCCCCCTCCTCCAGTATATTTCCATGCTGCCCTGTTTTATAAGGAACCTGTTCGTGGCTGGTGCTTTCCTAGGGAGAGCACAGCTGTTCCATGTTTGCTTTGACAGATGAATCCAAGGCCCTTTCTTGTAACCATTTTTGTAGGATGCATACCAATAAAGCTTCTTCTTTTTGGTTTTATTTTTTGTATAACAAGGATTTCTCTCCAGTTCATTCTGTGCTTAGCCTCTCTGGAGCTTTCGGGGACATGCAGGATTAACCCAGCTAGAACTGCACAATGGGTTATCTGGTTTCTGACAGTGTCTGCTTGTGGCCACGTGACGTTGCTGCAAGGAGCTTCAGGGAACGGCTATTGCTTTTGTCTGCCTGTGATCCCAACCACTGATCATTTTGTCGCGTAGCGTGAGGATCGCTGAGCTTGTAACCCTTATCCGAGCTAATACGGCTGTGGATGTTGTTTCACCATGCAAACATCCAATCCCTTTCTAAAACCTAACTAAGCTATTTGACTCGCTATCCTGTTCTTGTGAATAAGTTAAAGCCTTCCCTGCTGTAACTGGAAACCAACTATTGTGTTCTAGGCTATGTGTGCTGAAAACCAGAGGCTGCTTGTTTGTCAAATACCAGTACAAGCTAAAAGCAGTCTGTTGGCTCAGCAGAGATCTGGGAACTGGCACCTTTATGCAGAGGAGGAACTGAGTTCCCTACTAGTGTGTGTATTCCTCAGATGTTTAAATCAAGGCCCAAGCTCAGTGTGCCCTGTAGCTGTTAAAGTCTTCACAGTCAAAGCAAAGCCTGTTGTACAGTAACGGGATTCTGTTTGCGCAGTCCTGGGGTGCAGAGCCTGTTCTATGCCCCCTCCAGGATTTCAGTTGTTCCCTTGAGCCTAGTACCAATTCCTCTAACTCCTCTTGGCTTAAATGCCTCTTCTACCTGCTCCAGCCATTTGGGTGTTTTGGATAGGAGTGAAAATAAGCAGGCAGGTTGTGATCATCCTTTCCTTAAAAGTCGTTTCTTCCTGTTGCAGCTGGCTCTAGCTATGACTGGTCCTACAGCTATCTCAGCTGCTCCTCCCTCTCCCCTCTGCCCCAGCTATTAATTCTCTCGGGTTTCCCTTGGAAGCTTTTTGCAGTCCTGAGAGTATATCTGTGTCTTCTTCCCCGCACCATGGTTCCATTACGCAACCTCTGGTTAATTTTTGCCAGCATGGATGCCATTTGCCAAGGTGTTCGGAGCAAACTGGTTCTTTGATTCCAGCAAACCGTCTCTCTTAAAGCAGTTCAACCTGACTAAGCAGCTGCCTCTCGTCCCTGACTGCAAAGCCCATGTCAGGGCCATTAGCAGCTGTGTTAAGTTCTGTATTTCTTTAAAAGCAAGGCATGATGTACAGAGTTTTTTGTACCTGGAACTTTGTCACTTCAGCCAGAATATATCACTTGCTATCACTCAGGCCACACAAGTTATCACACTATAAATGCAGAAGTTCTTACGTAGTTTTTTTCTTTCCCTGAAGTTTCTAAGGTAACAGAAGTTGTTCAGTGAAAGCAGAGAAGAAAAGAAGGTTGAATTATTTCTTTTGCCTCAGAATTACTGCCCCTGGGGCAGGGACCCCTAGAAGATCTAATTTTAGAGTAGCCCTTGTTCCCAATCATTCAGCAGGGTCAGCCTGGCAAGGGGTTGCTATAGAGATACAAGTGTCCCCATCCCTTCCCCCACGCCCAAAAACGGCTGAGCTGTACTTACTTTCTTGGCACTTCGGGTGCCCTCACTCTGGCTGCTGGGTATATCGGGCTGCATTCTGGCAGCTGCAAGAGTTAAGCTGCCATTTCTAGTTGTTCTGAGTCACTGGGCAGGTGGAGAAAGGGAGAGACAGGCTTTTTCCCCTTTGCCTTGTTTGCTCAGACAGCTCTGGGGAGAACGCCAAATGCTGCTGGGGCTGGATCAGGTCAGTGCCGCTGCCTTTCTGGTACTTTCAAGAGCACGGACGGGACATTGCCCTGAAGCTGCTAATTCAGACAAGGGTAATGGATATAGTTGGGTAGCCCAGAAAAACTCAGCCTTGCTTACGTGGTAATCATTTCTGTTCACCAGCAAACAAAACCCAGACAGGCCCCCTAGAAAAGTGTGATATTTTTTAACTGAAATAGATTTTAAAGTACTTGTCCAGTAGAAGGAGATTTCCTGGCAGTACTGGGGACCAGAGCACATGCTTAAAGGGCAAGCTTCCTTGCAGGGTTTGGGAATGAGACAAGAGGTGTCCTGCTACTGTGTGCCTGCCAAGCTCTGGGAAGGCTAAATCAGTGCTTGGAGTCCCTTCCAGGGGCAGGGAATGGTGGGAGGGACATGGGGCTGCATCCCTGCGGTGGCTGAACACCCATGGTGCTGCTTGCACATCCTAAGTGCATGGAGCTAAAGGTATCTTCCTGCTGTTAACTTTTCCAGGTAGGGTTATGGCTTCTTTTTTCTTCTCTAATCAAAAGGTTGTCATGTAATAAGTAAAAAAATCCCCTTATTTCATGTGTTTACTTTGGGGAAACAATGACATGGAACCTCTTGGCCTGTTAAGTAATTGGCCTCTTTGTTACCAGTACTAACAAGGCATCACTGCGTTCTGAAACGTAGATGTTCCCTGTTAGACGCCTCTTCAGGCCACCTACCAGACACAGCTACAACTGAGCTCAGCAAATAGCTCCATAACACACCTCTCAATCACTTAGACCTTATCTTGACAAAGCCTTTGAGCCCCAAGTGTCACCCTGAAGGTAGGCAAAGGCCTGGAGTCTGCCTGTGAGCAGGACAAAATCCTCCTGAAGCCTTACCTGCACAGGAGCTGTTATTTCCTCATTACAGGCTTCAGCTGGGGATGTTGTTTGCCTGGTTCAATAGCAGGAAAGAATTTTTCATTTCCTTGAGGTCGTCACGTGAATTGACTGCAAAGAGGATTCAGGGTACGACAGCACTTAATTACACCCGACAATAACCCGACTGCCCTTCCTGGGCATTAAAGAGCTCCATCCCGGAGGTTCCCTCTCTCCCTCCCCACACAGCACATGTGATCCAGGAGCTTTGCTTTGACGTAACAGCCAAATGGCTGGGAATGTGTGAGCTGGTCTGGTGACAGAATTCCTCTGCCTGCATGTGTGCCGGGTAATGACAGGAGCCTGGTCAAGGCACAAGCATTTTAAAGAGCCCTAATGTGTACCACCCTCTTAGTAACACCCTATTAAAACGACAATAGAATTTTAGAAATGTAATTGCCCTTTTTTTTTTCCCCCCTTAATGATGCTAAAAATAACACAGGCATTTTAATTTCCCCATCTCTGGCTGACAGCTTAATTTTGTTTCCAGCAAAGCAAGGGAGAATTAAGAACAAAAAAATAGTGTTCTTTTGTAACTAAATTCCTTTTGAAACTAGGAGTGATGATGGAAACAAGGCTGCTTGTAATAACTCTCATAAATTTTCCTCTTCTCTTTCTCCCCTTCTCTTGCAGAAGAAAAACAACCCCCAATTTCAGATGTTGGGGTTTTTTTCTTGACTTAGTGGGGAAGTGAGCAAAGACAGCTGCTGCAGCGCTAGGAAGGAGAGTGTTAACATTTCTTGGAGAGGGACTTAGGGCATGAAGGGCATGTTGTGACTGGACATGGGGGAATGGCTTTAAACCGAAAAAGGGTAGAGTCAGATTAGATATAAGGAAGAAGCTCTTCCCTGTGAGGGTGCTGAGGCCCTGGCACAGGGTGCCCAGAGAAGCTGTGGCTGCCCCATCCCTGGCCAGTGTTCAAGGCCAGGCTGGACGGATCTTTGAGCAACCTGCTCTAGTGGAAGGTGTCCTTGCCCGTGGCAGGGGGTTGGAACTGGATGAGCTTTAAGGTCCCTTCCGGCCCAAACCAGTCTGTGACTCTTAATGCATGATGTTGATTTGCTTCAAAAGCAGTCCTTGAGGTAAAGGGTTCCTGAGGGCGGGAAGGAGGGTGAAAGAGAGGACAAACCAAACCTGGAAAGATGTGGAGGATCTGCATGGAAAAGGAGCAAGAGAAGACACTTTCTATTTTTGCACTTGGGAGGCAGTCGCTGTGTAGAACTACTTAACCAGAGGGACACAGAGCAACTCAGGAAGCAGCTGTGATCTTTGTCCCTTTTGAAAATGGGCAATAAATTAAACACTCAAACGTAACCATTACTGAGAAGATCCAATTCCAAGCTGCAGTGGGACTCCATGGTAAGATTTTCCTTGAGAATTCTTCAGGACCAAGGCAACCAGAACACTTCACTGGCCTCGCAAGCCACCACTGCTGCCCTTGGGACTGTTGTGCTTTGATCACTGAGGCTGATTCTCCTTCCCTGGTCTGCCTGTGTCAACTCCAAGGACGATGCCGAGCATGTGGCAGGAGAGCCTGGAAACGCTGTTCCTGGTATTCCTCTGGTTTGTTAGGAGCCTCAGTCGGATCAAAAGCTGCCTCACATGTGGACAGCCAGAGGGCCCTTTGCAAGTGGTGTCTGGCTAACCCAATGGCCTTGGGCCCTAAAATAAAGAGCCATGAGAACCAGGCGAGTGCCCTGGCTCGCCAGCGGGAGGCCGAGGGGAGGCCACGGTGTGCAGGT